CGTGTGATGTACAACTTTTTATCTACAAAGGGAAAAATAAGATTTTTTTTTTCAACCATTATCCTTTATTAGTCGTTGTATACCTTCATTTTACCTCTACAGGTTTAATTTTGACATTTGTCAAATCACCAAAAATAGTTGTGTTATGAATTCATAACCTTGTCCATAACACCACTAGTTGTGTTATGAATTCATAACCTAGTCCATAACACAACTAGTTGTGTTATGAGCCTCATGACATAACGCAAATACTGGAAAAATAGTTTTGTAAAAACGTCATAGCCCATGAAAAAACTGTTGTGCCATAAAAAAAATTAATAAGTAAGTAAATTATTTCATAACATTATCTCGACTAGACTTGGGAATATGAAATTTAAGGGATATTAAAAAAAAATACTTCAACATCACTTTCCAGTTTTGACAATAGTTTATCTCACTTGCACCATGAGTTAAACAGAGGTTTAAATTTTAACAAAGGTTTTTTTTTCGTAACTGACTTGCACCGCAAGTTAATCCTTGTTTAAGTAGGTACCTCTAAGCTGCTGTTAAAATAAACCCCCAATTTTGGTGGTTTAAAATCACAGTTAACGATTTTCGGGTCTATAGTGCCGTCCAAATAAAAACGGCTTTTATACAGGGTGTCCCACGACGTTTCTGCCAGGTAATAACTTCGGAACGCGTCATCCAATATAATTGAAAATTTGAGGATCTGGGTAACTTTTTGTGCCGCTTCTACCATTTCCGTCCAATTTCACCAGTTTCGCTTCAATTTCGATTTCGATCAAGTGACGTCATCTTTCGAATTTTAAATGTAACTTATGGTATATTATGGCCTTTTTCGTTAGAAAATTAGATTACAAAATCGGCAATGTCATATTTGTTAAGGCTTTGTTAAAGAAAATGATAAAAAATTATACAATGGAACATATGATGATGCGTTCCGAAGTTATCATTTGGGACAAACCTCGTGGAACACCCTGTATATATATATATATTTTTTTTTTTGGGAAAAATTCCATCAAACAGAAACGTTTAAGCTATTAATGCGCAAAATGCATATTTTCCATCAGAAAATTTCAATCAAAATTGAACACCTTTCAAAAATCAACTACGAAAATTTTCTACCAATTTGAGACCAAATAAATTGGTTGATATAATCCACAAGAAAGGGAGGCTGCATTACTCCTAACCTCCTTAAGTACCTATTATTGCTTGAAAAACGACCAATAACTTTCAACGTTTTTAGTAAGAACACGAGTACAAACTCCAAGTTATGGGATCTTGAAATTTAAATTATTCTTTGGTCTTCGATTGCTCGCTCCGCTCGCCAAATCTCAAAGAGAAGATCCTTGGAAATGTAAATCTACCAAAAAACGTAAACGATTGGAACCGAGTTCGGAATCAAGTTCAACAGCGACTTCAGAACATTTGGACTTTATTTCGGATTCCATCTAGAAGACGAAAATATGAAAAAATACGAAATTTTACACGCCTTTGCAGTCAAAATTAATACATACACCTCAAAAGTCTGTAAAGCTCTTCACGAATATTTGCGTATTTGGCTCGGTATTTGGCATCCATCTCGGATAGGTGAAAATCTAGAAAATTGAAACTAGAGAAACAGAGAGACGAGAACACATAAACATCCAAATATTTGTAGCTATTTGCCGAAGGTGTGATGGAGGCCTAATATAACAAGAATGCATTCTCTCTACTTTTTCTTTCAGATTTAGAAACACTGAAGCACAAAACTGGACCTCAAATGGAACGAGGCCTTGAAAGTTTCAAAATGAGTAGTAAAAACGATGCTCATAGATGATGTCGAACCAAGTGTTGAACTATTGCAAGGTTGCCACTTCTCATGTAATGAAACCTCAAATGAAACATTCCTTAGAAAATAAAAGTTGATGTTTCTAACTGACCAATAGGGACTCAGAAGAATATTTTACTTAAAGCTTAGTTAAATAGTTTAGTTGAAGCTCTGTTACTCCTAAATTAAAGCAAATTCAAAGGCATATCATAATTTTATCACTACAGAACTTCGAGTTATTACCACAAAATTTCCTTAAATTACCCCAAAAATTTCCTTAAATTGCCTTAAATTACCAAAAATTTCCCCGAATTACCAGTATATTTCCACTAATTACCATATATTTCCACTCAATACCACTATATTTCCCCTAATTTCCAGTCATTACCACTCATTTCCCATAAAATTTCCACTAATTACCACTATTGTGTACACTAAATTACCACAATGAAATCCCCCTCGGTTTGAGCTGAGTGGGTTTAATAACGGATTTATTGCCCGACGATGAATAATGCATTGTGCATGGGAGATTCTTAAAAATGGAAATTCGGTCCGGTTTATGATTACTGCCGCGGAGTACTAAACGGAAATCCTGATGTAATAATATACCGAGATGAAAAGTGCTTTATTTATGTCCTAGAGATTAGGATGTCGAGTTTATTTCGAAACAAAAATGGAAATTTTTATCGTGGTTTGAACACTATTTTAATTACAATAAATAATAAATCAACCTAGAAAATCAGGTAACGGGAATTGAACGAGGGAGGCAGAAGTGACACTAATGAACCCTTCTATTAATATTGTACAGAAAAATCGTAGGTACATGAAATATCTATTTATCATTTGTGAAGATGACAAGAAGTATTAGTTTTTCCACTTGCAATCTTCCATTTTAAAAATTTATTTTTACTCGTCCACGGAGTCTTCACTCGATGAAATAACTAACATTGTTGTCAAAAACAGCGGCATCAGGACTGCATTTAAGGAAAGGTATTCCAGAAGCTTCTCTACCAATTCACAATCACAAGCAAAGATATGAATGGCACAAACTCATATTAAACCTTTGGGAGTAGCTTCATACTTTAAAGATGACTTCAATCTGATATGCACTGACATCACTTGGAATCATGATCAGTAAGGGCAGAACACCTACTTACTGTTGTTTATTTTTAAATAATCCATAAGTGGAATAACTGTGTTGTTTCATTCACCCCTAGACAACTATTAAAACCCTACGTCTGTATGAATATTCTTGGTCTCAACAAGAACCCAACAAGTTTATATCAATCGTTATTTTTTTTTAACTCAACCAACCATTATTATTTTATATTAAACTGCTAGCTCGAATACAGTAGTGAAAGGAATGGATCTGTCAAATTTCTAGCCATTTCTAAAACTACGTCACAAAAATGTAATTTCCTATTGAACAAACTTGGAAACGACACAAATTCCAGCGCAACCTAATCACTGTTGGTTTTTTTAATATTTCCCATTTTCCGCCCGGTTTTCGCTCAGACACTAATTTAAAGTAGACGGAAACGGCGAAAAAGTTCGCTCGGAACAAGGCGAAAAAGTAAAAAACAATAATCCCGTTCCGGAATATTAAGAAAGCCCTGGGAAACAAGCCGAGAGTAAAAATAATTACAGCTCTCAATTTATTTGTGAACTCAACTTCAAAACTAATTCCAGCCGAGACCGGCTAAACGATGAGTAATAAGAGCTGTTCTTTGTTTTTTTCCCTTAATGAGATTTACGAGAGAGGGTTGGAATTGCAGGACCGCATTTTAGAGATTTTCTCACTCATTAAAAGTTAATTTACTTTATCAACCCAATTTTCTCTCTACAAAATTTCAATATCACGTTCCCCTTCCAAATCTCTATTAGCTCCAGCTCCTCTATCTATATCCGTCACTCAACATTCTCGCATAAAATTTTAAATCGGTCTCATCGTTATTCATTTATGCATTCGATATCGTCCCCCTTTTCTACCTTTCTATTAATTAATCTCTACCCGGACAGACGACGCGAGGTTTCAAATGGGATTTGTCTCAAATTTACTGTGAAAATGAATTTCGGAATGGATTTGTTCGTTCGCTCGTTCTTTCGCTCGAGAGCATTTTCTTTTTTTTTGCTCAATTAATTGTGTTTATTTTTATAGAGAATTTTATCGACTAAAAGCTCGTTAGCTTTTTCTTTCAGCCCATATCGTCACGACGCTATATCAAGGATATAGTTGCATTGTTTGCAGGCGGATAATTTTGTTTCTACCCCACCAGTTAAAACCCCCGACCCTACCGCAACGTCGTGCACAAGCTTACATGTAGACCAGGAGACCGCAGGGGCTTCGAGGCAGACGCGGTTTCGCCTTTTCGATGAAGCGTCGTAATTCGGTGTGCTACTAGCGAAAACGTGCGGTTTTTGCAGTGGCGGCACAGGATTATACATTTTCGAACAATAATTTTTCTCTGACATTTCACATCAGACTCTCAATTTGTAGGGCAAAGAAGTTCATCTTCTTCCATAACATATTCCATAATTTATTGAGTCATGACTTGCATATTATAATTTAGTTTTCATTTCTTGTCTGTATTCGTAAAACTTCATTTGGACGAAGTATTTCGGTTTTCCAAAGCTCAAAAAGTCTATCCTTCACAAACTGCTTGACAAGGAGACCAATTTCGATGAAAGCAAACTTGTCTTTTGTTCAGCTAATTAAAAACCTCCTCCAGAAAAACCACTTTTCCTCAAAGAAAAAATAAATAATCCCCGCCGTCAACAAAACCATCATCACAACCGATCATAATCAAAACACGTCCCGGCTTTTTGAAAACTCTCCAAATATACACGTCCTGACTCCGAAATCTCGCACACGAGACCCATTTATTTACAAAACTGCCCCGGTCCCTGGATGTATCCTGGCCTGCCTGCCTTTCCCGATCAAAAACCGGGACCCGTATTAAATCTCCCGAAACGTTCTCTTGTCCATTCGGAATTTTACATGGCGACCGCAACTGAGGTTTCCAAGCAGCTGCGGCTTCGCCTTTTGGATAAAGCGACGTAATTTGATTCTCTGGGTCGGGAAAACAGGGCGGTTTCGGTTCGTTAAATTCAGTGGCGGAGACACGGATAACTTATAAATTAACTTATTTAACTCTAGTTTATTTAATAATGGTTATTAAAAATTACTTACATGTCTTTCTTCTGCTGAGTTTATTCCTGGAAAAAAAAAATAAGACACATTAGGTGGAGCTCAAAATACTGAAACAAAATAAAATCTGCCATTTTTTGCGAAATTGGGAATAAAGCTATTATTATAAACATTGTTAAACATATCCTCTGGAATAGTAATTGAAAATCACGTGAGTACTTACAGGAATGCAACTTATAGATGGGCTCACATACCAATGACCTACAACCACAGATAGACGGATTTATAAACAAAAATATATGTTGACAACATGTCCGATTCTTTCTATCCTGACGAAACTCCCCCACTACTAAAATGCCACATTTAGTCGTAGGAATATTTATTTTCTCTTTCTAACGCGGGTATAAAGTCCTGCCTTTCAATTACACTTGGCAACACAGCACTAGACTAAACTCCGCCTTATGCTTTGTCATAGTAGTATGTTCCGTTCTCGACCAGAGTATCTTGTTGTCTCTATCTTATATGCGATGATGATTAGTACATGTTTAAAAAAGACGGATAAATAGGATATGTTCGTGTTGGTCTGGAATACTTTTCGAATATCATTCTTTTGGTTTTGGAGCGGGACCAATTGCGTCTGGTCCATGGCAGGGAACAGCTGTTGAGGCCGGACTTAGATCGGGCGACTTATCCCCACCATGGACCGCTCGCACCCCAAATCCCCCCTGGCCTATAAACATGCTGTCAACACAACAAATTAATAGTATTTTATGAATGGAATACTCTGTCTATCTGTGATAATAGGTCATTGTCACATACGCGTTTGATTTATAGATTTTCTAATCAAAAGTTACTTACAACTTGAACTCATATGGAAATACAGTCCGTTCATTAAGTCTATAGACTTTTGCGAGTGTGTGATCTGAGATTTTGGATGCTGATTAGCTAGATTTTGGGTCCTCACTGGGGTCTTAGGTTCATTGTTCAAATTGAGCGCTCGACCCCCTGATTTTCGCCAATCAGCGTCCAAAATCCCAGATCACACACTCGAAAAAGTCTATAGACTTTTGTGCAAAGCTACATATATCTGGGTCACGAAGTGAGTAGACATAACTAAACAGCAGAATAGCTGACTCCCAATTACATTGAAACGAAAGGCTTCCAACATGTGCGTAATCCCTGTGCTAACTTACGGTGCGGAGATCCTGACCCTGACCAAAACATCAACATACAAGCTACAACGAACGCAACGTAAAATGGAACGCTCGATGCTTGGTTTTTTTTTTTCACTCCCTTGGGTGGAGGATCTGGGCCCGTTGTGCGCCCACTGAAAGTTAATCCAGTCCCGCGGCTCTTGCGAATGCACAAAACTTACAGGACCTGATCTTTCCTATGTTCCCTGGATCATTCGTACAGCTGCCAAGGTACACGGTTCTAATCCGAGCAATATATTTTATAATGACAACTTTAAAATGGCCGCCCAAGGCCTCCTTTGGTTTTTGAAACGCGAAGATAGCAAATATGGCCGCCTATGACAATTTTTACTTACTTTTGTTGATATAATTATCGGAAAATCACATTTTATTTGATTATTTTCCTACTGTGTATGGTAAATTCAATGCTCCATACTATAAGGAACGTTCCAAAACGTTCCTCCGCCCTAAAATCAGTTGAAAATCGGAAAATATTCGATGCGCATAGCACTAGAACCGAGACATGTGTCATCTATGACAAGTGACAAGTACAATTCCACAATGGCCTGTTAAGGACAAGGAATACACACTACACAGGTAATGATGAAACTGAATCTGAACAGCGCAATCACTTATTCAGTTTCACTTTAGTTTTGTTCAGTCGTTACAAAAGAAGACGCTTGTTTACATTCTTTGTAAATGAACGAAGAACGAAGTGATCGGCCATCTAAGGTTGTGCTTGAGGGGTAAGGGGATAGCAAACATCCGTTCACCTCATTCAGTTTAGAAGGTGGAGTGGAGGAACCGACCGAAGACGAAAGAAGAATCCCACAAGTGAATGCAATCAGTTTGTTCAGAACGAAAGAAAGCACCTGATAATACACTCTACTACAACCACTACAAGATTGCTTATCGGCCTCGTTTTTGATAATCGCGGCCATATGTTATAGCACCATTGTTGACGTGTGAAAATTTGTCAATTTCTACACTCGTCATGTAATATACTCTATTTCACCCGGCTTTACATGTATAGGTTGGCAACTGGGAAAAGAGTGTTTCGTTCTGTAATGAAACGGGAGGGAAAAACGATATGGAAATATACAGTTGCAATGCGATAGAGCGTGATAGAAATATTAGTTCGCATATTTGCCGCTGTTCAATTCCTGCTGGTCGCATTTAACAGGAGGTCGATTCTCGAAACAAAAGAGCAGGGTTTTCATGAGACATGAGAACAGGTCTTCTGTCTTTGTCACTCATATTAGATTTTGCAGGGAACTGAGAAGGACAGGGCACTTATTTCCATAGGAACCCTACTCCCTGCTTCGAGAATCAGGCGCAAGTCAGCTTCAACTTCAACCACATTTCAACCAGATTATCTTATCGAGGATCTATGAAACGTCGACGTCAACTGTCAAGATACTGTCAGTCTTGAGCAAAAACAATGGGCCTTTTGGAAACGCTGATCCAATTAATCCGATTACCAGCTGATGTAGTTTGTCGTTTTTCAATCGTGTTTGTTGAAGAAATATAAAACAACAAACAACTGGTGATCGGGTTAATCATATCAGCGTTTTCGAAAAAACCAAACGTCTTTTCTCGCACTATTGTTTGCGGTCCCGTGAATCATGAACAATATTGATTACTTTGTCTAGTGTACTCAAATTTATATTTACATCTTTTTTTTACACAAAATAAATAGATCTGTAATTTTTGCCCAGAATCCAATTTACTATCTACTGTCATGTGTGCAAAACACAATTTCAAAATGGCCGCCCAAAGCCTACTTTGATGTTTTTGCAACGCGAAGTTAGCTAATATGGCCGCCTATGACATTTTCACTTACTTTTGTTGATATTTTTATCGGAAAAATCACATTTTTTTAAAATTATTTCCCTACTATTTATGGTAAATGTAATGCCCTACACTACAAAAAACATTTCAAAACACTTTTCCTTCCTAAAATCCGCTGAAAATCGGAAAATATTCGATGCGCATAGTACTCAAGAACCGAGACAACTGTCATCTATGACAATAACAAGTACAATTTTGAAATGGCCTTCCAATGCCAAGGATATTACACACTACACAGGATAGCTTATTCTCATTGGCTTGTGAAGATCAAATCTCAAGCCCCCACCACGCCAAAGTACCAGTGATGACGTAGGCAGCAAAGGGTTTGGCCACAGGTTATGATTCCGCTGGTTCTCCTACTTGGTTTTACTACATGAACAACATGTGTATACACTGTGTCCGTAAAGTAACGGATAAATTCATTATTTGGAAAACGGTGGAATTTTTGAAAAATCGCGCAGACACGTCAATTTTGTTTTTTTGTTTGAAATTTTTTGATATATTTTCCATTATACAGGGTAGGGTGTCTCAAAAATAGCTCCGCTGCTATCAACTTTGTTTTTTCAAATGGATCAACCTGTATATTATGACATTTATGGATTCTGCGGGAAATTTTTGACATATTTCATGTACAATATCATATACCTATCTTCAACTGTTTCGGAAATATTGACAGATGAAAATTGTTTTTTTTTGCAACTTTGACACGCTGTAAAACCTAAACGGTTAATTTTAGAGGAAAACCGATTTTGCATTCCTATCTTAGATTTTCAGAAACTATCATTTGACACCAACTTTGAATTTACCTGGAGATTGAATTTAACCGGTATTTTTAATCACGGACTAACTTCAAAGTTGATGTCAAATGATAGTTTATGAAAATCTAAGACAAAAATGTAAAACTGATTCTCCTCTAAAATTAAAAAAATGATAGCTTATGAAAAACTAAGATAGGAATGTAAAATCGGTTTTCCTCTAAAATTAACCGTTCAGTTTTTCCAGCCTGTCAAAGTTGCAAAAAAATCAATTTTCAACTGTCAATTTTTCCGAAACCGTTGAAGATAAGTATATAACATTGTACATGAAATATGTCACAAATTTTCCGCAGAATCCATAAATATCATGCTATATAGGGTGATCCATTTGAAAAAACAAAGTTGATAGCCGCGGAGCTATTTTTGAGACACCCTGTATAATAAAAAATATACCAAAAAATTTCAACCAAAAGAACAAAATTGGCGTGTCTGAGCGATTTTTCAAAAATTCTACCGTTTTCAAAATAATGAATTTATCCGTTACTTTACGGACACACTCTATATGAAAAACTGTATGCAGAAAATTTTTGAAAATTTGACAGTATGGGTGCAACCCGGCTAAAATATATTCAAGATAGTGTAACTTCCGATTATACCGGACGTAAACGTCAACTTGCTTATTTTGAAAGAAACACACAGTTTTGGATATGAAAAGTTGATATTCGATATTACGAAAATTTTTATACAGGGTGGGGACTTTAACTGGAACTAATTCGCTAGAGCCTTCGAGTAAAATATGTGGACAAAACGCAAGAACACGTCGATCAAGATTTTTTTTTTGAAATTTTTCCATATTAATTTTTTTATACAGGGTGTTCCAAGAACAGCTGTCCGGTCATCAACTTTATTTTTCCAAATGGTAGCCCCTGTATATTATGACATTTCTGGATTCTGCTGAAAATTCTAGACATATTTCATGTACAATGTTATATACCTATCTTCAACTGTTTCGGAAATATTGACAGTTGAAAATTGACTTTTTTGCAACTTTAACAGGCTGTAAAACCTAAACGGTTAATTTTAGAGGAAAACCAGTTTTACATTCCTGTCTGGGATTTACATAAACTATCATTTGACACTAACTTTGAATTTAACTAGAGATTGAATTTGACTGGAATTTTTAATCATGGATTAAATTCAAAGTTGGTGTCAAATGATAGCTTATGAAAATCTAAGATAAGAATGTGAAATCGGTTTTCCTCTAAAATT